TCTAATCTCTTAAAGTAATAAAAGTTATTACTTTAAAAAATATATATAGTGTAAATATTTAAACATAATATATTAAATATACACTTAAGAATATATATCGACATATATTAATATCTTAGACGGGCATTAAGTTCCTTCACTGACAATCTGTGGCAAGAAAGTAAGTTCTAAAAGAGATGCTAAAGAACTGTATAATTCAAACTATGTAGATATGTACACTGATTATTTGATCCACATTTTTTATTTTTTATTTTTTAATTTGATTTATTTATTTATTTATTTGAGATAGTCTCGCTCTGTCACCCAGGCTGGAATGCAGTGGTGCCATCTCGGCTCACTGCAACCTCTGCCTCCCAGGTTCAATTGATTCTTCTGCCTCAGTCTCCTGAGTAGCTGGGAATACAGGCGCACACAACCATACCTGGCTTATTTTTTGTATTTTTAGTAGAGACGAGATTTCACCATGTTAGCCAGGATGGTCTTGATCCCCTGACCTTGTGATCTGCCTGCCTTGGCCTCCCAAAGTGCTGAGATTATGGGCATGAGCCACCATTCCTGGCCCAGTTATTTGATTTTATTTACATACAATAAAACAATACATATTAGAACTAAGTGGTATTTATCTATCGTAACATCAATCATCTTAGCATTGAATTTAAAATGTTTACGATACAGAAATTCCCTAGTAAACAGTGCTAACATTGCTTCATTTAGTTTATTTTTATTTAAAAAGAAATATCCTCTAAGTTTTTAAAATTAAACAAGCTAATTCTCTTATCTAGGAAAAAGGCAAATATTCTTCTCATGTAGACTTTAAAGTAACTTTTCCCATGAGTCTTCAGCGGGAACCCATGTAATGTTGAGAATGACATTCTCAGCACCAGCACACTAAGCACTGCAACAAGTTTCACAGAACTATTTTTTCAAATGCTCTTCCACTTAAGCCAAAATGTAATTCAATAAAAGGAGAACTACAATGAGTTAAAATCATATGGTTCAAATAGCTGTTTTGGGAACTAACTTCACCAAAGGATTGTTTTTAGACTCTTTAGAGCTGTGGTCTTTCAACTCCTTTTGAATATATGCTGCATCAGTAAAAAACAATTTGAGCACACATCCTCTTTATAAATCATTTATATATCTATAAATTATATAGTTACTGCACTAATATATTTTTGCATTACAAAATATACATACAATGAAAAATTTAAATGGATGAAATAATAGTAAGCCTTAATAGCAGTTCTATTATTTTCTTCCTACATTCCAATGTTTCATTGTGTGCACCTCTTGGGGTGACTCGTCCCATCTGGAACTCACAAATACAAATAAATGACACTTCTCCACGGATTAATTTTCTTTAATCTTTTAAGAAAACAATGGGGGCGGGCACGGTGGCGCACTCCTGTAATCCCAGCGCTTTGGGAAGCCAAGCCGAGCTGATCACCTGAGGTCAGGAGTTTGAGATCAGCCTGACCAACGTGGGGAAACCCTGTCTCTACTAAAAATACAAAAATTAGCTGGGTACGGTGGCGCGCACCAGTAATCCCAACTGCTCAGGAGGCCGAGGCAGGAGAATCGCTTGAACCCGGGAGGCAGAGGTTGCAGTCAGCCCAGATCGTGCCACTGCACTCCAACCTCTGCAACAAGTGACACTCCGTCTCAAAAAAAAAAAAAAAAAAAAAAAAAAAAAAA